GCATGCCTTGGAGCTTTCTGGTAAAAAAGGAATCACAGTGGCACGGAGGAGCTGCCACCAGCAAGAGGCTAAAGCATGTGTTCCTCATTTCTCACACATCATTCTGTCTACATTCATATTGTATTTATGGGTCACACACGAAAAGCTTGCACAGACTTTCCCTAACTTGTCTACTAACTGAAATTCTTAATTGCTGAGAGGAGAAAACCCCAGACTCCACTGTTTATAGTCAAGGTCTAGAACTGTAACCAAAGTCACTGTTCCAATGCTTCACTGTGCTGGTTTTTATGCCAGAGAACCATCTTCTACACATGCTTATTCAACCCCTCTCACAGACATCAGCCTAGAAAAACACATTTGGCTTTACTTTATGTCTTGAAAATTAATCAAAACCAGAGTTTTACCATCCTTACCAGTTGATTTCTGGCTTATACATTACAGCTGACTTCAGTGGATAGATCTGGATTTACAATGCTGCAGCCAAAGGAAGATATTAGCTCACTGTCCAAGGCTCCCAAAATAAAACTTTCTGAAGATGCTGACCTGCTTAGCTCCAATAGCTCCTCAGTGTGAGTAGGACAATAAATGCATGAGAATGGCCTGTATTGGAGTATTTCAATTGTGACAGAGCATTTATTGCCCAAAATGAAAAGGCAGCATTGAGCAGTGTCTGTGTTGTGATTCTTTTTTACCTTAAGTCCATTAATTGATTATATTGCTGCAGTTACCTGTCATTAGAAAAGGACACTATTAGTCACAGAATCATGGAATGGTCTGGGTGGGAAGGAACTTTAAAGGCTGCCTAAAGCCAGCTCCTCTGCCATGGGCTGGGATGCCTTCCACTATCCCAGGTTGCTCCAAGCTCCATCCAACCTGCCTTTGAACACCTCCAGGGATGGGGCAGCCCCAGCTTCTCTGGGCAGCCTGTGCCAGGGCCTCACAACACCCTCACAACAGAGAATTTCTTCCCAATATCCCATCCAACCCCACCCTCTGTCAGTGTGAAGCCATTCCCTTGTGCTATCACTCCAGGCCCTTGTAATTATGTAAACAGCCCCTCTCCAGCTCTCTTGTAGCTCCTTCAGGTACTGCATAGCTAAAATTATGATGTCCCAAAGCATTCTCTTTTCCAGGCTGAAAAGTCACAATTCTCTCAGCCTTTTCGCACAGCAGAGCTTCTCCACTCCTCTGTTTATCTTGGTGGCTCCTCTAGATTCATTCCAGCAGATCAATATCCTTCCTGTGCTGGGGACCACAGAGCTGGATACTCAATGCTGAATTATTGTCAGTAACAATATTCATTACTTCTAGGCAGGCAGAGCATGATGCCTTTTCTTCCTGCCTCCCCAAAATGTTCTCCTGCTGCAAGAGATGGGCAGGATCTTCCAGGCAACACACAAGTGATTAACAAAATTCACAAGGCAAACATTACACACCAGAGAGACAAAATGAGTAACACACCGCTTAACTAAAAATAAATCCTAGTATTCTGAGGGAAATGTATAAAATAGGAGACAACCCTGTTTCATATCATACTTTTCTTCTGCAAAGCCTCTTCCCTGTTCTGCTTTCTATTAATGAAGACATGCACATGAAGTAATTCCCCTCATTAATCAACTTCATTCTTTTGGTTTTTTCCTACTTGAAGTGACAATCTTGCATTTGGGATGTCACATCAAGACGTGTAGCTGAGAATGATTTTAGGGATGAGTAGCAGAGGCAGATTAAGCTCTCAAGAAACAGACCTGGGCTTCAAAAGGCCTCTCCAGTAAATGGAGAAGAGAAGGGAATGGGTTCTGATGAACCATAAAAGCAGCATCTCACTGGGAAAGAGGAGAAATTGGAGTTGTAGGAGTTGTAGGAGAACAACTGAGTAGTTTGAAGGCAAATACAGATGCATTGCTGCATGAGGCAGAGAAAGAGATGGGGACAAGACTTCTAAGAGCACTTCACAATCATTGGTTAGAACCACAGAATCATTCAGGTCGGAAATGACCTCTAAGATCAAGCCAAATCATTAATCCAGCACTGCCAAGCCACCATTAAATCAGGAGCCACATCTTTTAAATCCCTCCAGGGACAGTAACTCCAACACTGATGCTTCACAACCCTTTTAGTGAAGAAATGTTTCCTAATATGTAATTAAAAAGCTGTGTAATGCAGAGATCCTCCTGCTCTGAAAGGTCAGCTCAAAGCCTACTCACTGTTCCGCTCTCCCATCTGCTCCTCATTTTCTCCTTTTCCTCCTGCCCAGATGCAGCTGCTCACGAAAGCACCACAGCCCCAGTGTGCCAGCCCTGTGCACAGCCAACCCCTCCCTCCCCTCCCAGCTTCACCAGGACACCCCAACCTGCTGACAGCTCATCAAGAGGAGGGGAAGCACTCTGCAGCATGGATGCTCCTTGCCTCAGGAAGCACAGCTTGGGACACGTCCCAGGGGATCCCAGTCCCAGGGCCTGGTCCTGCCCAACAAGAAACACATTTCCATCATCGTGGTGGCTGCACATCTGCTCTTCTCTGCTGCCCCTGTGCAAAGCTGAGCTCAAGGCAGCTGTATGGCAGCATGGCTCCTGCCTCACCATGGGCATCATTCCCCTTAACCTGACCCCAGTATCAAAAGTTAAACTATTCTCTACAGTCTTTGTCCTTCTGTCAAATCTGGCTGAAATGGGCCAAGTTCAAATGATACTGGGGAAAGAGAAGACAGACCCATCCAGCTCTTACACTGAAATTCAGGCTGAGGTCTGTGATCCACGATCAGTGGAACGTCAGAACCAAATCAAACAAGTGCAGAAGAGCAACAAATCCCGACATCCTTCATAGCTGTTACAACAATATTAGTAGAATACAACATAGGGTTAAAAAAGAAAACTAAATCCTCTATGGGATTTCAAAAATAGCAATAAACCCACAGAACTTCATAAAGAACAAAACTGCTGTACAGTTTTACTGTAAGGCCCAAACCTCTCAAGACGTTAAAGATATTTAAATCATCTTATAGAAGCTGTTTTCTGTCTCAGCCCCATTTCCAGAGCTCTGGATCACTTCATCCCTTTAAAGCCTCCTCTGCTTGCAGCTCAGTTATAAACTAGCAACTCAAAGCACTGCTGGCTGAGGGATGCATGTGTCACCACACACAACTTAATATCCATCTTCTACCTCTACATTTTCACCACATCCACACCCTGAAACAGCTCAGAGTTTATTTGATTACCCTGAAGGGAACTAAATAAGTAAAGTCATTTGAATATGCAACTGGATTTAATAAAACCTGTCTATATGCTTCTGCTGAATAATACTTACAAGCCTGCTTTAAGCTTAGTTTCCTCCTTCTTCAGGGATATATCTTGGTTTGGAAATACAATTATCCTCACCTTCTTATTATATAAAGTTAATTAGTGCAGCCACAGCCATGTGGATGTAGTAATTCAGTGTTTGATGATTTCAAAGTCAGGATAAGACCAGCCCCACAGCTCACCCATAGTGCAGGTCCTGGGGGTAAGAGAGGGTAGGAAAAACCTGATGATGCGAATGCCATTTTCCCAGTGCAGATGTGGCAGCAGATTTGAGGTCATTCTTTTCAGAGTTCTGCAACTAAATCACGACTGAGACAGCAGAAAGGACAAACCTGCCTAGGGCACTGCTAATCCAGCAGTGTTTGCCACACCCTACAAGGGCAAAAAGCCACCCTAAAAATGACAACAAACAGCCCATTAGAGTGAAATTTCACATCTTCCAATAAATTCAGCTCTTCATTTCCAACAGACCCCTGAGGCGTCTGTGCAACCTCCTGGCTCCAGCATCTCCGGGGTTGCTGCGGGCAGGTGCCACCTGAGGGAGACAAACCCCTTCCCTGGACACAGAGCCCTGCTCGCCCACAGCCTCCCCTCACAACTTAAATCTACTTAAACTTAGCCATTTGGTGGAATCCCAAGTACTTCCATGTCAGGGATGCAGGCCGGTTCTGCAAAATCAACCCCATCTCCCACCTCAGGGTGCTGCTGTCCTCCACAGGGAGGATCACAGGGGTGCAGGGGAAGTGAAAATTGCAAATAGCCCTGGAATTCCCTTCCAATCCTCCTCTCTTGAGCTCCCTGACACACACAAAACTCAACTCAAGATGTTTCTATGGTTTCTGAGCACTCAAAGAAAACCAGGCCAGGGCATATGGTGGCTGATACAAGCAGGGAGTTTTCCTAACACACTCATTCAGTGAAAAAAAAAAGAAAGAAAAAGAAAAAAAGGTAAAAAAAAAAAAAAAAAAAAAAGGAAAAAAGGGCATCAACCACAGGAAGAAGGGCTAAGAATAGCCAATACATCCCTTCCAGAGCAAGAGGCAGTGCAGAACTCACCTCATCAATTCAAAAAGCAGGAGCAGAGATGGAAACTCTCCATGTCAGGTACATGAAGAATTTACACAGTGTTTTTTACCAGCTCCTTACACCAAGTGTGTGCCTGGGAGTGGTTCCATGAAGAGCTGTGGAGCCCCTGGGAGCTGGAGCACTGTGGCCATTCAAAGGCACTGATGTGGACAAGGGGAGCCAGCCAGGAGGCTGAGGTTTGGGATCAGGCCAGAACAAGGGCTCACTCCTCCTGCACATCCAGCAACTCTGCACCCATGTAAAAATTTTTGGATATGAGCAAATGAGAATCTATCTCAACACCTGAGGCTCTTTCAACAGTATCCCCTCCTACAGTTCTAAGTGGGACAAACCCCAAAGCCTCCACTCACTTTACAGTCCAGTGAACTCTTAAGCAAGAGCATGAATACAACCATGAAAGTATTTCATCCCTATAAACATTAAGAGAGATTATTGCTCAGGCTTTTAAGTTTTAGGGCTGAATCCTTCAAAAGCTACTGCTAATGAAGAAAGAGAGGAGGGAAGAAGTGAAAAGAAGCTTTAAACAGGCAAGGAAAATCAAGTGTCACGGAAAAAGCTGGAGAGGACCACAGAGCACAGATTAGAAAGGAATAAAAATAAAAGGAGTAGTGGAGTTACCGGGTAACCATCGCGTCCTGACTGCCCCTGTGGGGGGGAACAAGGGAGATTAAGTCAGTCAATGCACCTGTAGCAGCTTGACATCACATAGCAGCAGGCAGGACACGGGGCCATCGGCTCTCCAGACAGCCCTGGCACTAAACTCTGCAGAAACCTCTCGGGGAACTTTCCTATCAGAGGTGTAGGTGTAGGTGTACACCTACAGCGTATTTTCCCTGGATTTTTATCTCCTGCTCCCTTTTGGCTACTTACCGCGGGTTTTGCCAACTTGAACCCATCCCTGCTGCCTGTGCCCAGCCCCTGCTGCCCCTGGAGCCAGACATGCACGGCACACCCTGGGTCCTGCCCATAAACCTGCCCTGGGATGGGGATACCAAGAGGAAAGAAAACACCTCCGTGTTGGGGAGAGGTCATGCCTGAGCCAGCAGCCAGGACAGCAATCACTGAGCTTCAAACTCCAGTTCCAGCACTTGATTCTGTGAAGGTTCACCCCTCCAAGGTCCATTAGCTTCCTTGCAGGACACAGCTCTCTCAGCTCTCGTCTTTGCTTTACTTTGCAATCAAGCAGAAAGCACAGCTGATGCTGTGGAGAACCACCCTACTGAAGTTCCTAGTAGCAGCTGCAGGATCAGCAGAATAAAACACAACCCATTCAGGGTATTCCACCTTTTGTGCTCTCCTGGGGGGCTCCCAGAGGTGTTTACAGCCCGAGGGGCTGTTCACCATGCCTGCAGCAGAGCCTGCTGCAAGCCAGCCCAAGGGCAGATTCCCAGAAAGAGCTGTTGAGTGTCAGCTGGAACACAAATAGCAGTGAGGTGAGTGTCTGGTGCAGCAGTGTCATCTGCTGCCATAAACACAGGTTGTGTCAGTGTTCTGGTGGTACAGAGTGCGCGTCAGGCTTTTCTCATGGCATGGAACAGCTCCAGCAGCCCCTTCACACCAATCCCAGGGGTTCTCCCTTCTCCTAAGCACCCCTGCAGCTTTAATGCCTCATGCAGCACTCCTGATTAATCCAGAAACAACACTGACTTCAACAACTACTTATTTAACCAATTACAGTCTTGGGATAAAGTGTACAGGGAGGTTTTTATGGAGATGTATGGCAATGGAGCACACACAGATATAAAGGAAACACTTGGAACGCCCTGCCCTCGCTTGCTGGTGAGTTACCCAGCCAGCACACTAACACATAATGTGTTTGCTAATATCTGTGACTGCAAATGTTTAATTACAGTCTGTGGTAAGTCTATATTTCAATTGTAGAAATTTCCTACCCAGCATGTGATTTTAATACTCTCCAAAGCAGACGTTTTATAGCATATCTGAGCAGAATATCCCTTACTCATAGACAGGATAATCAATCATACATCAGCCACAAATCCTGTACCACAAATTCTAATAATTTTATATGCATAACTAACTTATGACAGCCAAAAGAATAAAATACCAGAACAACTGCTACTAGGGAACAACAGAATTGGGGATACAGCTAGAGCAGTGTATTGCTGTACATGTAAGAAGTAATCAATTCCTTCTGGCCTAAATCAAGAAACAGAAGAAACTAATAAATGCAGTACTGTTGAAATAAAATAATATTGTGGTTCTGTGGGTTCTAGGACTTATATTATGCTTAAAGAAGTCTCTGGCAAAGGCTACTTATGCTAAAAAGCAGGATTAAAAAAAACCCAAAAACCAACCAACCAAGAATCTCCACCCAACCCAAAAATTAACTAAACCACGAGTTGTCTTTCAAAGAAGGGCAAGGGGAGAGGAAAGGAAAAAAAGGTCTTGCTTGTGTTAAATCTCCCCTGTGCTCCATTTGCAATTCAATAGTGCCGTGGGAACCAGGAAATGAAACCAACTAGAGACAAAGAAAAATTAATAGTGCACCATATGTTGCCTGTGTTGGATCGCCATAATAAACGTGACCAGACAGCACACGTGAGGCTGCAATGCACCCGGCTGCGTGTGGGCTGATAAGAGCCTCTGAGCACAACCAAACAGCTACACAAATCCATCTCAAGCTAGCCAAAGTACTTCAGCCAAGGGGAAATGTCCCTTAAAGGTGTATATATGGAGTTTTAAATAGGCAGTATCCCAGTATCCTCTTTATTTGTGATCCCAAATAATGGTTTTGCTCAACCCCTTCTTAAGTATTTAGGTTAAAAAATGAACTTCAGGTAAAAATTCAAAGGGCTGAAAACCCTCAACCAAACCCCCAGGCAGTGCTGCCAGTCCGAGGAGAACCAAAGCCACGGTGCTGGAACAGCTCCCACCTCCTTGTCACCAAAACAGTACTGGAAATTTATTAGCCCAGGAATAGTTACCAAATTTATTTTCCCTAAAATTAGTCTTTTTCAACCCAGTGAGGCTCTATAGGAAGAGAACAACATGAAGAAATGCCTCTGTTAGTGCAATGACAGACAAGGAAATGTGGCTGCAAACAGCCTTCACCTCTCCTCCTCTTCCTCCTCCTTTGGGGGGAGAAAGGTAGAAAATCAGAAGCACCTAAAACCCATGATTTATTTTTTAAAGTAACCCTCAGCAACTTGGAGGGCACAAAGAAAACATAAATTCTCACTCCAAAACCAGCAGGAAAACAACAGATCTGGATGTGGTGGCACAGCCAAAGGCACGTCTGGACATTAAAAAGGAGGAGTTGACACATTTTCAACTATTACCCCTTCAAACAACTATTTCCACATAAATTTTCTGGTTGCATTGGTAGGAATGCCCATTATTCTACCCAAGACTTCAAAGAAAGAAGCAAGCAAGCTATGGTTTTCCCTCTAGCCCCCTCTGTGAGGCAACCAAACCCATATTAAATGCTGGAAACACAACAGATAAGAAAAGCAAGACAGAGCTTTAGAACCAATAAACCCAGTAACATGTTAAATATTAGTACAGCACTCTTTCTGTTAAACAGAGGCAGACTAAAGAAATCTTTTAAGGGAAAACTCCTTTTTACTGAATATTTTCTGAGTTTAAAATTACTGGAAGTCCCTTGGGGCAGCAAGTTAAACATTTTAAAATTCCCCCCACAATTTGTCTACAATCATGAAAAAAAAAATAAAAAAATGCAGCAGCATCTGGTACCAATTTTGCTTCCAGACACACCTCTACCAAGAAATGCTGTGCTTTTACAAGGATAGGGGAAGGGGAAGGCAGGGGAAGGGGAGGCCTTAACTTTGTTGATCCAACAGTAAAATCCACGATACTTACTGCAGGTCCTGGAAAACAAAAGAAAAACAAAAGAAAAAAAGAATCAATTACAAAGAAAAAGTATAATCTGATAAAGCAACACAAAGCAGGAACAAACACCAGAATGATTTGTGACTTTTCAGTCCAATTCCCATGCGATGACTTTCCAGATCCACCATCCACATCCTCCTGTTACAGGACCATCTCACCCATGCTGGGGGCACAGCAGTACTGACAGGGGTGTAAAACCACTCTTTTCCTGTCTTTTTCACAGTACAGAGGAAAAGAGTTCTGTTTCTCCTTCCCCCACAGGACCCTGGGCACGTCACAAGGCAGGGCCCATGTGCAGGGTATCAGGGCCTTGGGCACCTCCTGTGGCCGGCTAAAAGGAGACAGATATGGCCAGAAAAATGTGCCAAATTTTTATGAATAAAATCGATATTTTCACCATAGACTTTATTTATCCTTTGGGTAATGCAGGAGAAGCAAGATACAGGCTCACAAAAGCCAGAGGAGCAGTATAGTAGGGACCTGGCAAGGACAGTGCTGCTGCTGCTTCCACAGAATGCAGATGCTGCTGTGGATGGTGCCCATCCCTCCCTGACCTCCAAACATGTCCCACAGCCCTGTGCCACCCCCGTGTGGTCCCTGCTCCTGTTCAGTGCCTCAGCTCCAGGGAAATTCCCATCTCACCCACGTTAGGCTTTGGGTCTGAGGCTGGCTTTAACAGCAGCAGCACAGAAACATCCCCCACTGTCCCCCAGCAGTGCAGGTGCTCCCCACCAGCCACACCAGTTGCTGCACTTTTCCCACTGCTTGCCCAAGCTGCTGCTGCACTGAGCTGAACGCTGAGCCCTAATCAAAGCCATCCACGTCACACTGCTGTTCATGAGGCAACCTATAGCTCTGTTTGGGATTTCTTCATGCTCTGATTCTTGCCTGATCAAAACCAGAAACTAGGCACAATTAGAAAAGGAAAAAAAAAAAGGTGGGGGAAAGCTTAAAATGGAGGCAAAAAAAACCCAGAAAAAAACCCAACTTTGTTCACCTTATGTTATTCAACAATATTATTGAAGAAGCATATTTCAAGTCAATGCCTTTTCAAGGATTTTAAAATTTGTTTTAAAATCAAAAGCATTGCTGAGTTGAATTAAAATAAAAACCCAAACAAGCCTAAGAATGAGGAGTGGCAGCAAGTAATGACAGGCAGTGCACCAAGAAGCATCCCACTGAGCTGTGTCTGTCACCTGTGGGGGTCAGTGCCACACAGCCACACCTGGGGCAGGGACATCCCCCACCTCCCACTCCAGGCCAGGAGCACAGGGGCTTAACTTGCTCTCCTTGGTTTAATTTCTTCTGAATACAGAAGCCAATGGCTCTATGCCAGTTTATTAACTGGGAATCATAAACCTGATTTATTAACTCACTTACACCAGGCTACCCACAAAAGCCCTTTTGTGGAAAAGTCAAGACTAAGTCTCAAAGAAGTGAGCAGGAAATTATTTTAATATGGGATTTCAATCATGTACCAATTATTAATATCTTTGGAATTTGTTGCCTACTTTTCTCAGCTACTGTTTTTTTCTCCCCAACATGTACAGGCAAGTGCTCTTTTAAAGTGCTACCTCCTCCCAAATCCAGGAATCACAGTCAATGTGGGAGTCTGTATATGCACCTTTGAATTTTCCAGCCTCATCAGTGGAGCTACACCAATCCCTCACTGTGCTGTTGGCCAACTGAGGCTAAATAAATCTTCATTAAGGCATAAAGTCAAAACTATTGAACTGATCTTTTAATCTCCTAAGAACAATATCACTTTCTGT